TCCAAACAGGCTGAATTTCAGTAGCGGATGAAATAGTCACTCATTTTTCAATGAAACAGTAAATGAACTGAGCACATGAAGTTTGTGAATTTGATCTTATTTTGGCTATTTATGGGATATCCTTTACAAAACCATTACCCCAATCCTTTTTAAAACGTTCTTTTCCACATGGGAGATTCCCACACCTCTTCTGTTTATAGAAAAGTAACTGTAATTCACAACCAGGAATGATAATTACTTGACAGGTATTCTGGTTAGAGTTTTTGTTGCTGTTCTAATATACTATTCAAATGCAGCTTGAGGAGGAAAGCGCACATTTCATCTCCTAGGTGGCACTCCAGCACTGAGGGAATCTGGGCAGGACATCAAGGACTGGAGTCAGAAACTGATGCAGAGGCCTTGGAGTAATGAATACTGCTTTCTGGCTTACTCTTCATGGCTTGCTCAGTCTGCTTTCTTACAGCACCTGCCCAGGTGTGGCCCCACCTTCACTGAGCTGGGCTTTCCCACATCAACCATCAATCAAGAAAATGGCCTACAGACTTGTGTACAGTCAAGTCACATGTAGGCTTTTTCTCAACTGGGAGTCCAAAATCACTCTAGTTTATGCCAAGTTGACGTAAAAGTAAGCATGGTATGGTTTTCAGATTCTGATTTCCTGAAACAATGTTTTATTATCTTACAGTAAAATGGTTCTTCAGACACTTGGTTTCCTACCTAATAAAGAATCTGGCTATAGTTGAGCCAATTTCTCTCTTAGTGTTGTTTGTTTGTTTGTTTGTTTGTTTTGTTTTGTTTTTGTTTTTGTTTTTTACCATTTCCACATTGATCATAAGAATGTGGATGTGTGCCCAATAGTAACGGGCTATTGAATAATGTCTCATGAGAGGCATGAAACAAAAAGTTTGATTGGCTACATCAACAGAATTTTCAGGGTGAGATGAGAGTGGTGGTTAGGTAGGTGCATTGATTGACAGATGCAGTCAAGCATCTAGATACCAACTGAGTCTCTTCTGCATCCCATAACCTATGTCTCCCTTACTGTGCCCAAGCCCTGGCTTAGAGAGTGATGACTGCTTGCTTTGTTTGCTACACTGCAAGAAAAATAATTTCTGCAACTGACTCCTGGTTCGCTGTTTTTCTAAGCAGTTCTGATTTCTAGTGAGAGTCTTTGTGCTATAGTCAATCTTGTTTTTGTGTTTACTAGTGCTTTGGGTTGCATGAAGTGAGCATAGCTCTTGATTCATAGCGACCATAACAAGCAATGTCTCATTCTCACAACTGATGGCACATTTTTAGTAACCTTTTAAGCAGTGTGCAATGGGATAACATATAATAGAGATGTTGACACCCTATTCTTCTCTCATTGATCGCTTTATTGATTCCACTCATTTCTCTTACCACCTACTATAAGTTTCTTCTTTTGTGTTTTCTCATCCAAAAGCAAGAAGCTTAGTGTGGCATATTTAAATAGGCTAATGCCAAGAGTTCACTTTCTTAGTGTTTCCTCAGTTAAAATGATGATTAGGGTCATTTTCAAATTGCTTCAGAGAAAAAATATGTACATATATACTAAAGGGGTTATAGCTAAACTAATGATTGACACATATTTTGTATTTCTTAACTTCAATTCTTCATAAGTTTTAGCTTTGCTCTTGAGACTTCAATAAAGGTACTATTTTTTTTTCTTGAATTTATGAAGATTCCAAGAAAGAAAAAGAAATAGTTAATTGGCAATTGCAAATAGCCTATACTCTGTGGGAAGTATGAATTACTAAATGTTTAGAAAATTCAGGCCAACCCAACTAAACTTTTTGGGGACGTTTAATGTGTCACATGTCTAATGAACTTTTATTTTTAATTTAGTAAGACATACATATAAAATTTCTGCAGAGCTAAAACAAAATAGCTTTAAATAGTATAAATAACACCCCAACGTTTCCAATGTGCCAGAGAATAAGTATTGCATTTAACAGAAAAATAATCTTAAAATAGCTTAACACAACATTTATTTCAGTGTTTTATAATACTGTGGTTTGTAAGATCAACTAAAATGATACAGAGTAAAAATTGTCTCTTAGGCTATAATGGTTTACAACACTTAAATATTCTGAAACTTAAAGCATCAATAGTTGCCTAATGAGCATTTATTATTTTTTTTTTTAGTTTAAATGGCAAAATGTTGTTCACTCACTGTGGTAATAAAAGAAAGCATTTTTTTTTAATATTTACCCCAATTTTTTGATAAAATTTCTTTAGTATTTAATTTATCATAAATATTATCTAATATCACAATAGCTTAAATTCTATGTAGACTTAATTATAATACTGTCAATTTTGAAAAAGATAGCCTGATATTTGAATAAGAATAAACATGGAAAACAATGGGCTACAATATAGGACCTGGAAATAAAATTCAGATCTAAGAACACTTAACTTTTGACAGAGAAGACAAAAAACTAACAGGCAAGGGGATCATAATATGAAGAATTTTCACAGAATAGCAGAAATTAAATAAAAATGAAAGAAAACTGCCAATCAACAAATGGGCAAATGAACTGAATGTACAATGTTGATTTCTTAAAGAAATACAAATGACCATCTTACCTAGGGTCCTCCTTCTTGTTTAGCTTTTTTAGGTGTAGAGATTTTAGTATGTTTATCTTATATTATAGGTCTACTATCTACTTATAAGTGAGTATATACCATGTGTGTCTTTCTGCTTCTGGGATACCTCACTCAGGGTGATCTTTCCTAGTTCCCACCATTTTCTTGCAAATTTCCATTTCCTTGTTTTTAATGACTTAGTAGTATTCCATTGTGTAAATGTACCACAATTTCTATATCTATTCCTCAATTGAGGGACATGTGGGTTGATTCCAGATTCTGGCTATTATGAAAAAAGCTGCTATGAACATGGTTGAACAAATATCCTTGTTGTATACTTGAGCATATTTTGGATATATGCCTAGGAATGGTATAACTGGATCTTGAGGTAGCACTATTCCTAATTATCTGAGAAAGCAGTAGATTGATTTGCAAAGTGGTTGTACAAGTTTACATTCCCACCAGCAATGGAGGAGTGTTCCCTTTTTTCCACATCCTCTGCAGCATGTGTTGTCATTTGAGTTTTTGAGCTCAGTCTCCAAGTGCATTCCCTAGTAATGGGAACAGGGACTGTCTCTGACATGAACTCAGTAGCTGGCTCTCTGATCACCTCCCCCTGAGTGGGGAGCAGCCTTGCCAAGCCACAGAGGAAGACAATGCAGACAGTCCTGATATGACCTAATAGGCTAGTGTCAGAGTGAAGAGAAAGAAGACCTCCCTTATCAGTGGACTTGAGGAGGGGAATTGGAGAAGTTGAGGGATGGTGGGTGGAGTTACAGAGGGGCATGGGAGGAGATGAAGGATGGAGGGTGGAGTTGGAGAGGGGATGAGGGAGGGGGCTCCAGCTGGGATACAAAGTGAATAAACTGTAGTAAATAAAAAAAACAAACAAATAAATAAATAAATAAATAAATAAATATGAGAAGTTAAAAAATACAAATGAGCAATAACTGTTTTTAAAGAGTTGTTAATTCTCAACCATCAGGGAAATTCAAATTAAAACTGTCAGATGGTTTACTGCACCCAGAATGGCTATCATCAAGAAACCAGAAAGCAAGTGTTGGTGAGGACGTGAAGAGAAAGGAATCTTTATTCACTGATGGTGGATATCAGTTTGGAGAGCTTTCAAAATTAAAAAACAAAAAGAAAAACAAAAAACAAGAGCTATTATATGACACAGCTAATTTATTCCTGGGTATCTACTATTAATTGCTGCTTTATTCACTGTAGCAAAGAATTGGGATCAACTCAGTTGTTCATCAAAGTAAGAATGGATAATTATACTTTGATGTGTGTGTAATATATATATATATATATTACACACACATCAAAGTATATATATATATATGTCTAGTACTCAGATGTGAAAGAAAATTAATTTTTTATATTTGCAAGAAAATGGACAGACTTAGAATGTATCATATTAATCTGTCACACAATCTCAGAAAGGAAACCACACATACTCTCTCATATGCAGAATTTAGCCAATAACATATGTGCATATGTAAACATATATATGTTAATAAAATACATCTTGATGAAAGGTAATACAGAAGGTCTAAATGTAGGCAAGAGACATGAGTTATGAAAGACGATGTAAAGTTAAGGGTTTCTCTATTTATAATTCTGCCATTGAGGTTTTTTGTTTGCTTGTTTGATAGTTTGGTAAGATTTAATCTTACATTCCACAGCTTCCATTCTGATGCCTGTTCTAACTCTGTAGAAGTTAATTCAGTTGTATAGACTTTGTGTTTAGTTTTATTTGGACTGTGATTTTTAATTTATTTGCAAGTTTATAAAAATAAAAAAAACAGTTAAGTAGTTGAATATTAGTTGCAATATCCTGCTTAGTAATTTCAGATCATGTGAGGCAGCTTACCATGCCTAAACAAAAGACCTGAGGAAAAAAGTTCAAGAGGAAAAGTTATTTTGACCCACAGTTAACTGAGGTGTGAGTCATTACTGTATTATTTGTCCTGTGATAGCTACTTCATGGTAGGAGTTAAAGATTCAAGAAAATACTCTACCCATGGCTGGGAAGAGCACATGAAAAGCTGAAGGAAGCGACATGTCCCTAATGTCCAAAGGTCTTCCATTGAAACATTTCTTCCATCATCTTCAGCACTTCCCAGTTTGGTCTCTCTGGGACCAGACCTGTGACATGTAGCCTTTGTAGGATCCTGGATCTCTGGACCGCTAACAGCTACATCCGCAGACAACTTGTGTTTATTCTTATGATTCTACAGGTTAACTCCATGTAACTTTCACAACCCTTTCAATGATGTGTTCTTTGGATTAATTCCCTTGTTTAGACAAAATATTTTATTTTTCATCCCCTAGAGAACTTTTTGAGTGATTTGTTACTAGAAAAAAGTTTCCTTCTTCTTAAATAGGCCTTCAATGAGTTTGAAGTTGAACAACATCAGGAATGTGCATATGATCACTTGGAAGTTTTTGATGGAGAAACAGAGAAGTCACCAATTCTTGGCCGACTATGTGGCAGCAAGATTCCAGATCCCCTCATGGCTACTGGGAATCAAATGTTTATTCGGTTTATTTCTGATGCCTCTGTTCAGAGGAAAGGCTTTCAAGCCACGCATTCCACAGGTCAGCAAATTACCTTCATGTTTTCTTTCAAAAAATCATTTTTTAAATTAATTTTTAAATTGGTATATAAACTAATGCGTTTAATGAATGTAATGCATACATACATGTGTATATATGCCATTATTTTGGGTATGTAGATGTGGCTTATTAATAAAATTATCCAAAATTTTAATCATAGCTGATGTCCTAGCTTTGTTTGTGTTGCTGTGATGAAATGCATTGACAAAAAGCAACTTTGTAAAGAAAAAAAAATTTGGCTCACAATTCGGTGTTGCAGTCCATCATTACTGGGAAGTCAGAGCAGGAAGTTGAAATTCAAGTTACATAGTTACAAACAGATAGTTACATTCCCACCCAAGAACACAGAGAAGAAAACGCATGCAGGCATTCTTCATCACAACTTCCTCCCCACAGCTGACAGTCTCCCCTGCCTAGGAAATGCAACCACAGTGAGCCAAGTTTTCCTTTCTTAATTAATGTAATCAAGAAGTCCCCCACAGACAGACCCTGATCTAGGAAATCCCTCCTTGAGACCCTCTTCCAGGTGATTTTACATTGTGTCGGTTGCCAATTAAAAGTAAACATCACAGCTGGTAAAATCTCATTGAAACCTGTAGGAATAATTGGAATATTTGGAAAACTTTTCAAGGTCTACCTTGATGCCTTTGCAGAAGTTGAAGATTCATGGAAGAAATATAAAGCATACAATAATAAAGTCATAACAAATTTCAGTTTGATCTGTTATCAGTGTAAAATGCAGAAGTAGAAACATTTCTAAATGTTTGTGTAATTAATTGTATAACTAATCTTAGCAGGTTTACTTAAGGTGTTACCTTTTAAAGATAGAAAGCTATACCTTGCTATTAAAACCTTTATTTCATCTACTAAATTGTTTAGCTAGCTTTTGCTTTAGTACTTTAGTACATTTTTTTTCTTTTTAATGGCTTTGGGATTTATTTCATTGTTCAACCCACTGTCATTTCTTCCTAACTCTTATTTGGTATGCAATATGATTTCTTCTCTAATCTTGATCTCTAACTTGGTTTTTAGCTATTTAGAGAAAAGTTTACTTTAGAACTGTATAAATATGTAAAGGTTAAAAAGTCAGATTAAATTATTTGTACCCAGGGGCCAAATAAAATATGAGGTCCACAAAATAATCTAAAGACTTAGGTTAAGAGAGAGAGAGAGACAGAGAGAGATTTTTTGTAATAGTAATTGAGCTTATAGTGCCACCTTGTGGCCATTATAAGGAATAAACGATTGAGAATGCATAGTGCAAAGTAAAAGTAATGCACATTCATTCGCAAAATTATTTTAATGCAGTATTTGTCTTGTTTTCTTGGTAATTGTTTTGGTTTTCTTTAAATTTACTTTAGAGGTCTATGTGTTATCTATTTCATGCAATATTTCCACTCTGTTTTTACCTTACTGCATAACTGATTTGCACTTAACTCTCTGAGAAACTGGGAGTTGTTAAAATATTATGTTATGCACTATTAATTATTCAACATTCATAACTAATACTAATCATTCCTAACAATTGTCATAAATATTATGCTTTTTAAAAAACATTCAAACTATAGACATTTCTTCTTATTTTTTATACATTTGGTATTTTAGATATATTCCTGTTTATTTGCCAAATATTCAAGGTGTAGAAAATTTCATGTACGTTTCCTCTTTTGAATTTATTTGATGGTAGAATGTTGGTGGATTTTAAACACAAAGAACAAAAAATGGTCTTCGAGCAGTATTCATTTGGCTTTGTCACTTCAAAATATTAGGAACCTGAAGCTAGACGCTTGACACTTAAGTGTTAACTGAATTATCATAGCAGTACTGACATTTGTCATTAGAATTTTGGCTTCCACAATTTAATCCAATCATTTATTCTAATCAATATGTCTGCTAGTGTGTGATTTTTTTTTTTTTTTGCCTTTCCATGTACTTATAAATTTTGTCTTCAAATAATGAGTGACCTTAGAACACTCTGGATGGATTTCTCCTGTGCTGATGCAAAACAGCACTTAAGTAAATTAGTCAGCCTCCACCTGCTGGGCGCATCTCCTTGAGTAACAGTATTTCTATTGGATTCAGTTGTGCCATAAGTTCCCATTAAAATTTGGTTTTGGCGTTTGCTCAGACAGTGTGATGTGCTAGCATTACTTAGGGTAAAAAAACCCAGGGATTTATGGGAAAAGAGCAATGCAAATTCCTATATATTAACAGCTTGCAGTTAGTTCAGTTCAAGCCCAAGTTGGGATAACAATCTGCTAATTTCATCATATGTGTAAAACACTTTTATATTACTTACCTCCTCATAGAACAGATGCAGTAGATTTGTGGTGTCGACTATAGATGTTAATTTGACTAAATTTATTTTTCTATATACAGCGTTAATTTTTGTCTCCAAAAGAGTTTTAAACAGCCAGTTGCAATGTGGCTGTAGTGTAATTTTTACAAAGTGATGCTATCCCATGCCATGGATCTGGACTTCATTTGGAAGAGAACTTTATTTTCCTCAAATTCAACTTCAATTTGTTTTAGTCAGGTAGTTGAAAGAAAGAAATTTTGCAGGAAATAATGTGTATTTTATCAGATGTCTCGAAAGAAAGAAAGAAAGAAAGAAAGAAAGAAAGAAAGAAAGAAAGAA